TATATATAGCTTTTTTTTTTTTTAAGTAAAGTTTTTATTGAAGCATAACAGAGAAGTACACAAATTGCACATACATCCTGGAGAATTTTCACAAAATGGACACACCTGTATAATTGGTACCCAGAACAAGAAACAACTCTAGAAGTCCCCATCCCCATCTTATTCTTTTCTAGTCATTAAATCACTATTCCCATTGATTAATTTTGCTTGCTTTTTGAACTTTAGTAAATGAAATCATGCAGTATGTATTCTCTAAGGTCTGGTTTCTTTTATTTAATATTATAATTATGAAATTCATCCATGTTGTAGCATATAATGATACTTTATTTCACTGTAACAAAAATATATTATTTCAGGTCCCTGTTGCTAGTTTAGCCATATTTGGGTGAATTATGCATATGCATCTTGAGCTTTTCTGATTTGCTGCCGCTGTTGCATATTTGATTCCTATACTCCATCAGTGTTTCAGTCTATCTGTATCAGTCTTTGAAGGGTATTTTTCAAGTAGTTTGTATCAGCTTATTTCCTACTTACCCAAGAGTCTCTAGACAGTGTTGTTCTTCCAACATGCGGATATTTGTTTTTAGGGTTATTGCTGTCTTATACAGTAATGGTAGTATTTTTCATTTAAATCAGCTATCAAATCAATATAACTTTATTTTTCTTCTTTTAGCCCAGGTTTCCTTAGGTTTGTGAGGGTTTTGTGTGGCATGTCTTCAGATGAGAGGAAGGCATTCCTGTATAATTATGAAATTCATCCATGTTGTAGCATATAATGATACTTTATTTCACTGTAACAAAAATATATTATTTCAGGTCCCTGTTGCTAGTTTAGCCATATTTGGGTGAATTATGCATATGCATCTTGAGCTTTTCTGATTTGCTGCCGCTGTTGCATATTTGATTCCTATACTCCATCAGTGTTTCAGTCTATCTGTATCAGTCTTTGAAGGGTATTTTTCAAGTAGTTTGTATCAGCTTATTTCCTACTTACCCAAGAGTCTCTAGACAGTGTTGTTCTTCCAACATGCGGATATTTGTTTTTAGGGTTATTGCTGTCTTATACAGTAATGGTAGTATTTTTCATTTAAATCAGCTATCAAATCAATATAACTTTATTTTTCTTCTTTTAGCCCAGGTTTCCTTAGGTTTGTGAGGGTTTTGTGTGGCATGTCTTCAGATGAGAGGAATGCATTCCTGCAGTTTACCACTGGTTGTTCAACTCTACCCCCAGGTGGACTGGCTAACTTGCATCCTAGGCTCACAGTTGTACGCAAGGTACAAACTCTGGCTACTGGGGAATCTAAACGGAATTAAGATACTTAAGGATTGAAAGAAATACATATTTAAAGTCATGGTCTTCTGTTATTTTCACTTCTATTTCTGTAGGTTGATGCTACTGATGCAAGCTACCCATCAGTGAATACATGTGTACATTATCTAAAGTTGCCGGAATACTCTTCGGAGGAGATCATGAGAGAGCGCCTGCTAGCTGCTACAATGGAGAAAGGCTTTCATCTCAACTGAGCTTTGAAGTGCAATGGGAGACATCAGACACTTAAAATTCTAGTGAAGCCTCTTGTGTTTGTGTGCAGAGAAGTATATGATCCTCCATGCTAATGACACTTGCCTTTTTTCCACCATTAAGGCTTTAAGAACACATGGAATAAGTTCGTTAGCTGCTAATGACAAAACAAATCCTTTAACTATCCAGCCAGCAAGTATATAGCACAGAACACTTTGTGTTGCTACAAGGGCTCATGTGACTGGAATTAGGTGGTCCTACTTGACTGTTCCAAAGAGCAGCTTCTCAGATCTTCAGTGTTCATTGGTAAATTTCTAACAGTGTATTTGTGTAAAGTTTGTCATTTCATACTTCATACACTACAGTTGCCATCACTGATGCCTGTTTTGCTGGCTTTTAAGCTACTTGGTCAAAAATCCTGCTTCCTTTAAACATAGAGAGTTAATGAGCATCTCAAGCTTTTTCTTTTCCTTTTTAATGATGCCTGCACTATCAGAGTATATCTAGTGTTCTCTCTTTTGTTTGGCATATAATCATGCACAGCCTTTTTATTTCTTTGAGGTGGGGAGTATATTTTTATTTCCTAAATGGCATACTATAAAGTTCAAATTCTTAAGTGTGTTTGTGCAGTTCAAAAATAAAGATATATTAAGGGGGGGGAGAAAACACTGGTTTAGGTGCAAGGCACACTTAAAGCAAGTTTTACTTTTGGTTGTATTTTCTTTGTATATTATAAACATTTATTTAACTTGTTGCAGTTTGAAGTAAAGAAATTTCCAAAATGTATTCTCAACAATAATCATTAAAATGTTTGCAGCGTACAAAACTGTGTCATGTGACTGTTTCACTGCAGCCATCAGACCTAAGAGCTTAACTGTATACTTTTCATTTTGAATCACTGAGATATATAGTTTTTTGAAATTACTACATGAAGAAATGTATTTTTCTGTGTAAATACACTTACTGAAACTGGAAAGCTAGGAGAAATATATGTTCACATGCTTGTGATCCAACTCTTGTGTTCTGTCTTTAAAGTATTCTTCAGGTAAAAATAGCCAAGTTATTTGTGTTAATTTTTTAAACACCAAATGTGCTACTTACCATTGTATCTTCAGCGATGTGTAAGTCTAAGATCCAAGAATGATTTTTGAATGTTGTGTTAGTGTGAAAAGAAACCACTGGGATAATGCTATTTCCTGGTTTTGAAAAGGGGCTATATTTCCATTTTCCTGTGACTTATCATATCTATGCATCTAGGTAAAAGAAATGTCACTAGGTCTGATTTAGCCAGATGGCTTTTATAGGCGTGAAAAGCATTTTTTGGAATTGCCCACAATTTACCTGTTTAAAAGGTATGTTCTCTTTCTACATTAGAAGAGATTTCTCCCATTGCAGTCAATCATTTGAGTAGTGTTTCTGTTCTCTGCATGAGAATGTTGTGACTATGTAATCAGAGGCAGCATTTACATAATTTTACCTTATTGTTAGCTTCACAGTTCTCTGCGAGAATAAAAGTTAAAATAAAATATAATAGCAATATTTAAACGTATGACCTATGCTTTAATCCAGAAAACAGTGGTGGTGATTGTCTCAATACATGGATGCATGACTAGAACTTTACACTAGCAGTAGAATTAATATCCAGTTTATGTGTATTATTTAAGTCTCTAAAATGTCTGTCAATAGCCAGCTTTTACCAAGACTGTTCTAGCACAGGGGTCAGCAAACTGTGGCCTGCCGTTTGCGTTTGTATGGCCCATGAACTAAACATGGTTTTTAAATTTTTAAGTGGTTGAAAAAAATAAAAAAGAATAATAATATGTGAAAATTTTATGAAATTCAGATTTGTATCCATAAAGAAATAAAGTTTTATTAGAACACAGCCATGCTGACTTATTTATGTATAATCTATGGCTCTTTTTTGCACTACAGTGGCAGAACTGAGTAGTTACAGCAAAGACCATATGGGCCACGAAGCCTAGAATACTTACTGTCTGGTCCTTTGCAGAAAAGGTTTGCTGAATCCTGGTCTAGCACATTGCTACAGCAGGTAAAGTTGATGAGTCTTATACAGTGAGTAACTCTGAAATGTCAGGAATCTTCCTGTAGAACTAAAAGTCCAAGAACAAGGTAGAGCTGACCAGTCTGAGACATAAATTTCATGAGTCTGAAAATCACTTAAAGCTGGTAGTCACAGTTCAGCAATAAACCTGAAGTGAGATGATGACACAGCCTGTCACACAACAGAGAGTCACATTAGAGTTCACTTTGTGTATAAGTCAAGTACTGTGAGACATCTACTTGGGTCTTCACATACACTAGCCTCTGGAGTATTTTTTCCAGTGATATCTACCTAGTATTTTTTTTAATTGTTATTCTCTCAAGGTACTAAAATCTGTGCCAAGATGTTATTTGAATGCTATTTTGGTGTGACCCCAAAATTAATTTTATTCACTCCCTAGTTACTTCTGGTGTACCAGTTTCAGCAGTTACTCGAATGTGCTACTGATTAAGTGCCTACCAACTAGGCCAGTGTTTCCCAACTAATTATGTCTCAGAAAGACCTCCAAAGCACTTTGATCTAGACTGGGCTTTCCCCAGACCTTGGCTACTTAATGCATACCATTCACTGTTCTGGCAGGTCAGAAGCCTTTCCTCTGCTTTCCTGAATGAGTCCAAAACAACTAAGGTTTGCTTTTGGAGTCCATTATTGATTGGTTGCCTGGTAGATGCAAACTTAGAAATATGTAAGTGAAGTTTTAGAGACACATAGAGAATTTAAACAAAATCCCTCCTATACACACACACACACACGAGGCAGGGAGAGAAATCAAACAGTACTGAATGAATTACTGCCTAGAATGCCCATTTACGTCCTCTTTTGGAGGACAGAGTGTTGTAGGTGAAAGAACTCTTGGAATTCCATAGGATGGCACAATATCTTCATGTATCAAGACTATATTTCTGTGTCCTCCAATGTACTTGCCCTCCTACCCTAACATGCACATGAACATGCTTTTACTTAAGACAGCTCTGTATCTCCTACTGTTACGAAGCAAAAGCATATATACAGAAAGGTTTGAGAGGATCAGAGCATTGCTCTTCTATAGTGACTTAGCAGTTTTCTTTGCTTCAACACATTCCAGAAGGGGTTGAAGGAATAAAAGGGAGGGGAAGACGGAGTCATTTCATGGCAACCTGAACAGAGATAGTCTCTTGCATTCTGTTCTTAAACTTCGAACTAAATTTCATTTACAAATAAGTTTACTAATAAGACTAACTCTTTACAATATGGCATATAGGATAGCTATAAGGGTTGTCTTAGTGATTCATTATTAGGTAGTAACATTCTCTATAGAGTTAATTACATGATGTCTTTGTAATTGCCAAGTGCCCATAAAATGGATATCAGGCTTTTAGAAACTGGCAAAGAATATTTGATTCTGCAATTTTCATTAGGTACACACATTTTGACTTTTTAAAGAAAAAGATAGCATTCATTCAAAGTGCTCTGCATGTTCAAGTCAATTTTAAAAGTTTATTGGCCAATAGAGAGGTGCCACATTTTCTTCCCACCACATGATGCTGTTCCTGAATTTATCCCTTTGTAAAGGGAAGCAGAGACCAAAAGAGTTTCCCTCAGTACTCCACAAAATCTAAACAAGTGAGAAAAAAAATGCTTATGTTCAGAAAATAAAACTTGTCTCTCCGTTTAGAGAATAATTTTCTTTGTGCATCATGTTTTAAAATACAGTTTTGTTTTCCGTTTAGGAACTGTGAAAAACACCTATTTTAAATGTCTTTGGAAGGACAGCCCATTTTGCAGTGTTTGGTCTTCCAGATTCTTTTGGGCTAGTGATGTTGAGAGGTATTCCATGGTGTCCTCATTTCCTGTAAGTCGATGTTGTCTGGCAGGGCCTTTCTGTTTTCAGCTAGCTGTCTGACATCTTATCAAGAATTAGTAGAGGGGCAAGAATTCTTGCCCGATTCGTTTCCACAATGCAGCCATTTAACACCATCTCATCCAAAATGATGTGTACTTTATCCAAATTAAACATTATCTAGGGTCATATTAAGGAAGTTAGTTATAAAAATGTTAACATTCAGTAAATAATAACTTATGACTTTGCCGGGAATTTTTCCAGTGTAAATTAGTCTAAGCATGAAGGTTTTGTTTTTTTTTAAACAGAATTCCTGAAATTAAAATTGGTATATATATTAGAAAGTATTACCTTCATGTACACATATATACCTGATTTCACCTTGGTTAGGCTGACTAACTGGACAATAGACATAGAAATGGAACAGCTATATCTTTCAGCCAGAGGGAGACAGAATCTCTACTAAGAGCTGGAGAAGAAACCAAGTAAATTTTGGTAGGAGTGTGACCTGACCTCAAGAACAAATGTCTTCCCAGACAATAATAACAACAGTAATAGCCATGACTTATTGAATACTCATTATGTTCCAGGCATTGTGTTGAGTGTTTTACATGTATTATTTCAGTCTTCTCTACGACTCGGTGATGTACATGCTAACATTATCCTCATTTTACACAGGAACAAACAGGCTCAAAGCCATTGCCTACAGTCACATGGCTAGTGATTGTCAGAGCTGGAATTTAAACCGAAAGTTTGGGCTTAACTGCTCTGCTTCCAGACTTGCCAGGAGAGGCCTGAGGCTGCTGAGTATACATCCTCCCTCCGCCCTCAAACCTCCACCCCAAAACAAATGCCTTTACAATACTGCACCTTGAGCATCTTTTGTGTCAGACAGGCTAAAGAAAAAAATAACCACGAGGAGAAATGAATGAAGAAAAGGCAATGCTGACTTAATTCCCAAGGAGATAAAAATTCCGAATTTCAAGAGAGTACCTCTTATAAATGGAGCATTCTAAAAATACTCATTTGAGAATTATGGAGCCACTTTAGCTTACTGATGTTCTTATTGGAAAGTTAGTACAGGGCATGGGAGAAGAAAACACTGTTAGACTATCATGTCTAGCTAATTAGAGCCAAGTCCTTCCTCCAGTAGTCCCTTCATTTGAGTACCTAACTTTTCTTTTGTGAAATTGAACTGGAAGAGAGAACTGACCTGTTCTGGAAGAGAGAAACTCTTGAGAGTGAAGATGATAATGGTTGAACGTTTCTAAATTCTATGCTTTACTAAAGTTTCCATCACTAAAGAGCACAATCCTGGTCTGTTTAGAAAAATAACAGAACAAAACAAAAAACAGCTGACAGATTGTTTCAAATAGACAAACTTCATTCAACAAGCTAGTGATTAAATGCACTATGGGAGTTCATAATTAGTGAATCTTTGTAAAATGAGCCATTACCACCTGATTTTTCTTCCCAATAATTCCAGACGTTCAAGTCTATTATTGTATTTGTTTAGTAAAGTACATCTATAGAGAATGAGACAGTCCTGGGAATAACTTTTAAGTTTCTATTAGGCTCTGTGTTAATACCTCATTAAGCTCTGTGCAAATAGTTCTCCAGCAGAATAAACTTTTTCAGGAGCCCATAGGGACTGTCCTTAAGTGACCCAGAAAAAAAAAAAAAGCTTTACTCTGTTATACCTATTAATAATATCTTCCAATTAGATGGATGATTGCTTTGTCCATAGCCAAATTGGGACTGGAATATTAGGCGCTTGACTTAATCCTCTTCACCAGACCCAGAAGCCAGAACAAGGTAGGAATGACAGCCAGGTATAAAGGAAGGCAGAGCTGGGAAGCACAGGTGACTGCATGAAAAAAAATGCCCTGTAGAATCCCCCTGTTGTATTCACTAAGGTCAATGAAAGCCTAGTGCCTTTTTTTCTTTTTTTTGGTGTCAAGGTTTTTTGTTTTGTTTTAAGTATAGTTGATTTACAGTGTTGTGGGAATTAGTGCTGTACAGCAAAGTGATTCAGTTATACACATATATATACATTCTGTTTTAAAATATTCTTTTCCGTTATGGTTTATCATAGGATATTGAATATAGTTCTCTGTGCTATACAATAGGACCTTGTTTAAAGCCTAGTGCCTTTGAAAATGTCAACCCATCCAGGGTGATTCTGAGGTAGAAGGAGATCTCATTTTAATCTATTCTGTTTGAATCGATGCAGGGATCAAGCTGCTCTGAAGACTGCTCCATCTTTGGCAAGAATATGGTCAGCAATTCAGATGTCCCCTTGAACAACTAGCTCAATGTTTTGCAATTCAGATTAGAATTTACTGCTGAATCATATCAACCACTGACATCCTCACAATGCAAGGACAAGGTCCTTCAGCAAGTCTGAATTTCCCAACATCCTGGAAACATGAATTGCTCAGTGAGGGCATTTGGTACTGTGGGCATGTGACTGCCTACCTATCTGAGTATCTGGCTCAAACCCCTAATAATCATGCAACTTTCTGGCACTATAAAGGGAAACCACAGACCAAATGCAATGTGAGGCAAAGGCCTGAAAACTGATTTCCCCTTGGAATCATGTGACTCCTTTAAAATAAGAATCCAGCTGTTGTTCACATCTTGATTTGGTTAATGAGTTACTTGTACACACCGGAAAAGCCAAGAGTAATGGCATTTGGGCTACAAGCCAGGTGAGCAGGGACCAAAAAATGCCCTATATGCCAAGTCCCGTGGCAATAAGCAGAGGCATACACACTTTAGCCCTGACATTTCTAATAGGAGGAAGCAAGAAAGGCACAAGCTGTTGGTCTAGTAAGGTGATGAGCTGAGAATGACTAGTTTAAGAGGGTCCAACCTTCAGGTTTTACTGAATTCAACTGACTTAAAGATCCTTGAGGAAACTTGTTTACCTTCATGGGCACCCTAAGGTTGGAGCTGATATGAACTAGGAAGAGCCTCTTAAAGAACAGATTCATAAAGCCCCACTTTCTCCCAACCCGGAAACCTAGAGCCTTTCTGAATTTCTATGTAATATGGATTGGAGCTGAATAGCGTAGGACCTCAGTAATATTAGTGCCACTTGAAATCAATTTTTTAATTACAGTGATTGAAATGTTTCTGGTTCATACATTGGAATTTTGATCTCTGGATCATAAAGCACTTTTTCATCATGGTATTTTAACACCACTGTGGTGGTCTAGTTCTCCTTTAATAAGAGAAAACTGAGCAGCATACATTCTAATGGGACCTCAAAAGCAATTCCAAGGAAGAGCCCAGCCTAGAAACTAAACTTTCTAATTCTAGATTTTGGGCTCAGATCCCTTGTCTTCTTATTTGATTTCTTTTCTTTTTTTTTTTTTTAAGATCCTAGCTCGGACTTCCCTGGTGATGCAGTAGTTAAGAATCCACCTGCCAATGCAGGGGACACAGGACAGGTTCGATCCCTGGCTGGGGAAGATCCCACACGCCATGGAGCATCTCAGCCCGTGCGCCACAACTACTGAGCCTGTACTCTAGAGCCTGAGAGCCACAACTACTGAAGCCTATGTGCCTAGAACCCGTGCTCCACAACGAAGAGTAGCCCCTGCTCGCCCCAACTAGAGAAAGCTCGCACACAGCAACAAAGACCCAACGTAGCGAGCGAGCGAGAGAGAGAGAGAGAGAGAGAAGAAAGAAAGAAAGAAGGAAGGAAAGAAAAGAAAGAAAGAAAAAAAAAAAGAAAGAGAAAGAAAAAAAAAGAGTTCTTTAAGTACGGTGGGGAAAAAACGTGTTCTCTTTTTTTTATACTTTAATTCAATTGCCCATGGAATTAGATAAGTTGCAAAGGGCCAATGTGTTCACATTTCCCACTGAAAATCAAATGCTACTGTATGGAAGATTATCATGAAGATTCTGCATAGTTCTGGATATACTCTCCTTGTAATAGTCTTGTGTTCACTTTTAGGCTTAGTATGGCCTTTAGTTAATTAGGTCACTGAAAAGGAGTGGGGTTTTTTTGTTGTTCTTTTGTTTTTACTAATAGTAATCTTTTATTTATTCATTTATTTTTATATTTATTTTTGGCTGTGTTGGGTCTTCGTTTCTGTGCGAGGGCTTTCTCCAGTTACGGCGAGCGGGGGCCACTCTTCATCGCGGTGCGTGGGCCTCTTCACTATGGTGGCCTCTCTTGTTGCGGAGCACAGGCTCCAGACCCGCAGGCTCAGTAGTTGTGGCTCACGGGCCTAGTTACTCTGCGGCACGTGGGATCTTCCCAGACCAGGGCTCGAACCCGTGTCCCCTGCATCGGCAGGCAGATTCTCAACCACTGCACCACCAGGGAAGCCCCAAGGAGTGTTTTTTTATTGTTGTTGTTAAGTAGGTTTTCCTGAAAGATCCATTCATATTCTGAGAGCAACAAAGACATCCCAGTGTAATTTTTTTTAAGTTTATATAGGCTTATGTAAAATTACACAAATATCAGCACTGGGGTCAGTGAGCCTGTCATTCTCTTGTTTTTTTCCTCCAGATTCTCTGTTGCTTCTCATAGCTTTGCCGCCACTATTCCTGAGTGAAACAGAACCCAGAAGCATAGAACAGAAGGAGTGGGGGTAAGGCAGAGGGACCTGGTAGGGAGGGATAGGAGGAATAGTAGGCGATGAATATGGCACCTAAAGGACTCAGAAACACACTTAAAGGATATAGAGAGATGGCTAAGGCTAGGGAGGCCCAAAATGGCCTGGAAGGCAGAACTGTTTAATCTGGAACTTTCACATCCCTTTCCCAGGTGAATGGCTGACTCCCTTGGAGACTGTTCATAATTCTGAGACTCCTCACTCATGACTTGACTAGAACTCTCATGCTGGAGCGGGCTGTGGCCCCCTTACCTCTCCTTGCCTGCTCTTCCCAAAGACTGGACCAGCTGCACACATTCCCTTGGGCCCAGGGGCCTGCTCTCTTCTCTTGCAGCCCTGCTTCAATGGACATATTTTCAAAAGGAAAAGAAGATGTTTAGAAATCTCTGACATGAACGTCACTTTTGGAAAGCATGCTCTCATCAAGACATTCAGGCATTCGCTTCAGAATTTTTCATTATTTATGATGCCTCCAACCGAAGACCAGGGTTTCTCTAAAACTTCTTCCCTAATTCAGGAAATACCAAGACAGCATATGGTGCCAGGCAC